CTATTGCCCCATATTCTCTCCAGGACTTGGTTATCCCCATTGGTTATCCCCAGTGTTACGGATTTTGACCATTCTAATAGGTGTGAAGTAGTATCTCATTCTTGTTTTAATATGCAGTTCCCTAATAACATATGACCTTGAACATCTTTTCTTATGCTTTCTTGCCATCTGTATGTATATCTTCTCTGGTTAGATGTCTGTTAAGGTTTTTTATTATTTTTTAATCATGTTGTTCATTTTTATATTGTTGAATTTTAAGAGTTCTTTTTTCTGAGTAACAGTTCTTTTTTTTAAATTCTTTAAATTCAATTTAGTTAACATATACTGTATTATTAGTTTCAGGGGCTGAATTTAGTGATTCATTAGTTGCATATAACACCCAGTGCTCATTACATCAAGTGCCCTCCTTAATGCTCATCACCCAGTTACCTCTTCCCCTCAACCAGCTCCCCTCCAGCAACCCTCAGTTTGTTAACTAGAGTTCAGCATCTCTTATGGTTTGCCTCCTTCTCTATTTTCATCTTATTTTATTTTTCCTTCCCTTCCCCTATGTTCATCTGTTTTGTTTCCTAAATTCCACATATGAATGAAATCATATGGTATTTGTCTTTCTCTGACTTATTTTGCTTAGCATAATACCCTCTAGTTCCATCCACAGCATTGCAGAGGGCAAAATTTCATTCTTTTTGATGGCTGAGTACTATTCCATTGTATATATATATATACACACCACATCTTTATCAGATGTGTCTCTTGAAAATATTTTCTCTCAAGGTATGTTTTGTCTTCTTGTTCTCTTGACATTGTCTTTCTCAGAGCAGAAGTTTTTTATTTTAATGACATCCAGATTATCAATTCTTTCTTTAATGAATGGAGCCTTTGGTGTCATATCTAAAAAGTCATTGCCATACCCATGTTATCTAGATTTTTCTCCTGTGTTATCTTCTAGGCGTTTTATAGGTTTGCATTTTACATTTAGGTCTATGATACATTTGTGTTAATTTTTCTTAAAGGATGTAACCTCCATGTCTAGATTCATTTTTTAACATCCAGTTGTTCTAGTGCTGTTTGTTGGAAAGATATCTTTTCTCCATTGTATTGCCTTTGCTGCTTTGATAAAGATCAGTTGACTATATTTATGCGGTTCTATATCTGGGCTCTCTATACTGTTTCATCGGTCTATTTGTTCTTTCACTAGTGCTATCCTGTCTTGACTACTATAGTTTTATAGTAATTCTTGAAATTCGGTAATGTCAGTTCTTCAGTTTTGTTTTTCTTTTTCAATATTGACTTGGCTATTCTGCACCTTTAGCTCCCATATCAGCTTTAGAATCAGTTTGCCAGAGCCACAAAATAACCTGCTGGAATTTTGATAGGGATTGCACTGAATCTATAGGTCCAGTCAGGAAGAATTGACATCTTGATAATATTGAGTCTTCCTACCCATGAACATGGAATATCCATTTATTTAGTTCTTTGGTTTCTTTCATTAGAATTTTATAGTTTTTCTCATATAACTTGTGTACATTTTGTTAGATTTGTATCTAAGTGTTTCATTTTTTGTAGGTGTTAATGTCAACGGTAATGTGTTTTTAATTTCAAATTTCACTTGTTTATTGCTGATATATAGGAAAGTGTCTTGTATATTAGCCGTGTATCTTCTACCTTACTATATAATTGCTTATTAGTTCCAAAAGGGTTTATGTTGATTGTTCCAGATTTTCTACATAGACAGTCATGTCACATGCCAACAAAGACAGTCCTATTTCTTCCTTTCCAATTTACCTTTTATTTCCTTTTCTTGTTTCATTAGCTATAGCTCCGTTTTCAGTCCCTTCTCTTATTTTCTGTATCCATTCACCTTTCCTGTTTATTCTGCACTATTCAGTCTGAATAATATTCTTGTTAAATCAGACAAATGAGAGTTGAGAGAGTTGAGAGTCTCAGACAATGAGAGAGTTGTTTATGTTATACAAAACAGCACATATAGTTAATTGCATGTAAAGGAGTTGGGCACTTAAATGTTTACAGACTTATAGATAGAGTTAATTTTGACCCAGCCTTTTTTGAGAATTTGAATTGGATGAAAAGAAGATTAGAGGAGAAAGGTTAAGAAAAACATCTGGCATATGGTAAGAAAATACTTGTATAGAGCTATAATAATTACATGAGCTATATTGGGTGAAAGGTCATTGTGGAAAGATGGGAATTAGTGAAAGTGAAGATATGGGAAGAGGCAACTTAATAAAATGGCACTTAAGTGCTGTATTTATAGCACATCAAGTTGTGTGGAACTTTACGTTTTAAAAAAAACCATTTTCATGTAAACCTTCTGAGAGGGAGGTATTCTTACTTTATGAATAAAAAAATACTTAGATTAAGAAATGTACCAATTCCATATAACAACAGTATGTGACCCAGTTAGGACCAAACATTATCTTATATTTCCAAGGTCCCTGTGCTTTCCTGATAACTGTTACACCTCTGTTGCCTCACCGTAATACCCTATACTTGAAACTCTTACAGTTTATTGTTTTTTATGTGCAGTATCTAATTTGGACTCTCAAAAGCCTTGTGAGGTATATAGCTCAGGTACAATGATCTCATTTTACAGATAAGAAAAATAAAGATGAGAGAAGTTAACTAGAGGTAAAGCAGCTGGGACTGCTTTCTTAATCTTATCATTTATTTTCTCTATCTAGTTTCCATTCCTGTTGTTCATTTTTCACTTTTTTTTTTAAAGATTTATTTATTTATTTTGAGAGAGTGAGAATGAGAGAGAGAGCACATGAGAGGGGGGAGGGCCAGAGGGAGAAGCAGGTTCCTCGCTGAGCAGGGAGCCTGACACGGGACTCGATCCCGGGACTCCAGGATCATGACCTGAGCCGAAGGCAGTCGCTTAACCAACTGAGCCACCCAGGCGCCCCATTTTTCACTTTTTAGTCAAGATATTTTTTCCATTAAACTGAGACTAAAGGGAGTTAAACAGATTAAAACATCAATACTATAGTAAGTAAAAGTACAGGTCCAGATTTAAATTTATGCCTATAGTTGCGGTCTTCTTGACAGTTGTCTGTTCTGGAGTAAAGAACCTACTGGAAGACCCAGAATTTTTTTTTTTTTTTTTTCAGAAATTTCTTGAGACTTGTTCATACCATGATTGAGAATTATTCTGTTAGATGTGTGTGGAATTATTTGGAGACATCAGAAGTGGAGGTTGTTGATATCAGCTGCTAGGTGGCCATGATTAACATAATTTGTTAATAGATTTAAAATTCATTTGGAACAGGTGTGAAATGATGAAGTTCTCGGTGAAGATAAAAATTTCAATATATGGATTTTTCCACTTAAAAATGCACAGGAGTAAAGTACTACACTCTCTCAGTCCTACCAGTATTGATATTACTTAATAGTGTTTGGAATGTTTTGATTTATTTGATAATAATTTAAAAATTGGAATCAAATCTTTTTTATTACCCCAATAACTTATGTTTGAGGTAGGAAGGAAACAATATTTCTCAGCAGCTGCTAAGATCCATTCTGAAGTACCGATGTATTAATTTCTTATGGTTGCTGTAACAAATCACAACAGAAATTTATTCTTTCACAGTCTGAAATTAGTTATCACTGGGCTGAAATTAAGGTGTTGGCAGGGCTATGCTCCTTCTGGAGGTTCAGGGAAGAATCTGTTCCTTGCGTCTTCCAGCCTCTGGTGGCTGCCAGTGTTAACTTGGTTTGTGGGTGCATCATTCTAATCTCTGCCTCTGTGGTCACATTACCTTCTTTTCTTTTTTCCATGTCAAATCTCCTACTGTCTTCTTATAAGGTACATGTGGTTGCTTTTAGGGCCCACCTGGATAATCCAGTAGATAATGTCTCCATCTCAAAATCCTTAATTATAACTGTAGTGTCTTTTTTGCCATACAGTAACACTGAAAGTTTCCAGAGGTTAGAATGTGTATGTCTTTTTTGGGGAGCCATTATTCAGCCTACCACTGTTCCTGTTGCTTCTTTTTCTTCTTTTTCCTCTCATTCCTTTTCTTTTCTCCTATTTTTTATTCTTTTTCGTCTTCCAGAAGTACAAAGTGGCAGAAAGATTGATTGACTATGATCTAAAGTTATGTTGAAGAGTTGAGTACATAAGGTCTAGATGAGTAAGTGAGCCTAATTGCCTTCATTATAGAGCATCAGATTGTGTTCACGTTAATTTTTTGTTATTGAATTAGTTGATAGTGATACTTTTGTTAAATTCAGCACCCTTGGGGCACCTGGGTGGCTCAGTCGTTAAGTGTCTGCCTTCAGCTCAGGTCAGGGTCCCAGGGTCCTGGGATCAAGCCCCACATCGGGCTCCCTGCTCCACAGGAAGCCTGCTTCTCCCTCTCCCACTCCCCCTGCTTGTTTTCCCTCTCTCACTGTGTCTCTCTCTGTCAAATAAATAAATAAAATCTTTAAAAAAATAAATTCGGCACCCTTTATTAAAGTAATTACTAAGTCTTTGGGTTAAGTGTGTGAGTTAACATGAAATTACTTTCCAAGTAAAGCATCTTTTGATTAGATTGGCAGGCATTGATATTATTATTGAGAAAATAGCCAAAAAATTATTAACATTGTTTCAAAACTCATTTTCCTTTAGGCAGTTTTTTTCCCCCACATTTGCATTTTGTTTCAGTGGTAACTCAGGCTTGAATTTAATGAAGGGAAACAGAAGAGTTGGCAGAGTTCCAATCCAAAAGTCCATCGTCAAGAGACCTTTGTGGTTTGGGGCATATCACATAACCTTTGGGTCTTTGTTTCCTAGTATCTATAATAGGAATTGAATTATGTGATTGTTAATTATATGATTGCTAAAAGCTTCGGTCTGGTATTTAGTATAAAGTATTTAAAAACCAACAAACAGGCCAATAAACAACAAATTTCATTTATTTTATAGTATTTGAAAAGGGAATCATACAGGCAAGATTATTTTGAAATAACTGTTCATGCTTTTTGTTTTTCTGCAGATGGACCACACGTCCCCAACCTACATGCTTGCTAACTTAACCCACTTACATTCAGAACAACTTCTGCAGGGCTTGAATCTTCTTCGTCAACATCACGAACTCTGTGACATCATTCTTCGAGTCGGTGATGTTAAAATCCATGCTCACAAAGTTGTACTTGCCAGCATCAGCCCATATTTCAAAGCTATGTTCACTGGAAACCTTTCTGAAAAAGAGAACAGTGAGGTTGAGTTTCAGTGCATTGATGAAGCTGCTCTCCAGGCCATCGTGGAGTATGCCTATACAGGAACTGTTTTTATTTCACAGGACACAGTTGAATCTCTCCTTCCAGCAGCAAACCTACTCCAGATAAAACTTGTCCTGAAGGAATGTTGTGCATTTCTTGAAAGCCAGCTTGATCCTGGTAATTGTATTGGAATTTCTCGTTTTGCAGAGACATATGGTTGTCATGACCTTTATTTGGCAGCTACTAAATACATATGCCAGAATTTTGAAGCTGTTTGCCAGACTGAAGAGTTTTTTGAGCTTACACATGCTGATTTGGATGAAATTGTTTCCAATGACTGTTTGAATGTAGCTACCGAAGAGACTGTTTTTTATGCCCTTGAGTCTTGGATCAAGTATGATGTACAAGAACGTCAGAAATACTTGGCACAGCTACTTAATAGTGTGAGATTACCATTGCTGAGTGTTAAGTTTCTCACTAGACTATATGAAGCAAATCATCTTATTCGTGATGATCGCACTTGTAAACATCTTTTGAATGAAGCCCTAAAATACCACTTTATGCCTGAACATAGACTCTCTCATCAGACTGTCCTGATGACACGACCTCGCTGTGCTCCCAAAGTACTTTGTGCCGTAGGAGGAAAATCTGGACTATTTGCCTGTTTGGATAGGTAAATAGAAGACTTTCTTAAAGGATAGATGCTAAAAGATTTTATACTTTTTAAGTGTGCTAATTTCCTCTATTTTTTAAATAGTTTTATTTTACTATTTACTTTATTTGCTTTTTTTTTTTGGTTTGTTTCTTTTATTCTTCCTAAAACACTTATCTGGTTGTTTTAATCACATTGTCATCCATTCCTTTCAACACTCTCAGTTATTAACAACCTCCCCCCAGCTTCCCCATGCCCAAACTTTATGAATTTTGGTTACTTTTCTACCATTTTATGTCTTTTTTTTCTTTTAATTTATGAAACTGTTTACATTATTATTTGACCAGGTCAGTAGGGACTTATTGCCAACTATAACAGAAGATGCTAAAGAGGAGAGCTAGGAATCTTTGATGAGGTCAGACTGGGGATAAGAGTGGGTTTGAATGAATACCATCAAGTAGAAGAATCACCAAAGAAATAAGAAAAAGTAGGATGCTGAATACAAATCATGGACATACATATTGATTTTCTTCGGTATATATATTTTTTAATGACAGTAGTAAAGAGTGCTTTCTTTTCTAATAATCTACAGTAGGAGTTGTCAGACTTTTTCTGTATAGAGCCAGATAGTAAATATTTTAGACTTTGTGGCCATATGATCTCTTATGACTACTCAGCTCTGCCACTGTAGTGTGAGAGCAGCGATAGACAATATGTAAACAAATGAGATGACTGTGTTCCAACAAAACTTTATTTACAAAAGTCCCTGGTGGGCTGGATTTGGCCCTTAGCCATAGTTTGCCGGTCCCTGATTTGGAGCATTACACAAGTAACTTTTATACATTGAAAATACAGGGGTGCCTGGGTGGCTCAGTCATTAAGTGTCTTCCTTCGGCTCAGTTCATGATCCCAGGGTCCTGGGATCGAGCCCCGCATCAGGCTCCCTGCTCGGCAAGAAGCCTGCTTTTCCCTCTCCCACTCCCCCTGCTTGTGCTCCCTCTCTCACTGTGTCTCTCTCTCTCTGTCAAATAAATAAATAAATAAATCTTAAAAAAAAAAAATTAAAAAGAAAATGTAGTTGGATGTTACCTTTGCTTTACCCTTAAATGGGAATGCTTCATGAAAACTTTCATGTTTGATAAGTTTATTTAATACTGTGATTTCTTTCTGGCCATTTTCAAAAATTTAGTAGATTGCTTTTTCCCCCTTCCAATGGTAGGAAACTGATGATGTTTTAGCAGTGTCAACTGATATATCTGTATCTTTTAGAAAGTCTCAGTTGCATTTTAATTGTCTAAATTAAACTAATTGCGGGGCACCTGGGTGGCTCAGTTGTTAAGCGTCTGCCTTCCTTTTGGTTCAGATCATGATCCCAGGGTCCTGGGATCGAGTCCCGTATCAGGCTCCCTGCTCGGCAGGAAGCCTGCTTCTCCCTCTCCCACTCCCCCTGCTTGTGTTCCCACTCTCGCTGTGTCTCTCTCTGTCAAATAAATAAATAAAATCTTTAAAAAAAAAAAGAAACTAATTGCATAGTCTAAACCTAGTATCATTGAAATTGGTCTGTAGGTAGAATATTAGTTATGGTGACTACAAAAATTATTTACTCTTATTTTTAAAGGCACTAATTATTGGCATAAAGTAAACTATACTAGTAAAATGTCATGACAAAAAATTCCAAATGTGTATTTACATGGTAAAAATTCTTGACCAGTTGCCTCTTGGTCTCTCAAGTATTAAAAATAACATACATAAATTATTAAAAAGCTATAAGAACTGTTCATATGTTTAGAGCCAGTAATCTTTCATCTTACATCTGTTAAAAGAAAATAAATTTTTTTTTTTTTATGTAGGCTCCACGCCCAGCGTGGAGCCCAACGCAGGGCTTGAACTTAAGACCCTGATATCAAGACCTGAGCTGGGATCAAGAGTCAGATGCTTAACCAACTGAACCACCCAGGCACCCCAGAAAAAAAAAAAATTTCAGTGTCATTTGCACAAAGCCATTTATTGCAGTATTATTTATAACTATGGAAAAATGTGAATCAATCTAAAAAAATTAATTTAATTCTACAAAAAATATTTAATACCTGTGCATCAGACACACTATGCTGGATAATGGATCTTTAACAAGTTTATAATTTAGTTAAGGAGACAGATATTTAAGTAGATAATTATAATATGTAGTGTTAATGTAGTGATAAAGATAATACCATCGAAGTATTAAGGAAAGGCATTTATCCCATTTGGGGGATTTAAGGAAGATATTGTGGAGAAGTTAACATCCAAGCTGAGTGTTGAAGTTGCTAAGCAAGACCCAAGCAAAAGGTCACAGGAAGTACACAAAGACACAGTGGAATGATAGAGTATAGAATGTGCAGAAGATTAAAAACTGTTTGATATTCCAGAGTATAAAATTGAAAGATCAAGGGCCCCTGGCTGGCTCAGTTGGTGGAGTATGCGACTCTTGATCTCAGGGTCGTAAGTTCAAGCCCCACGTTGGGTGTAGAGATTACTTAAAATAAAATCTTAGGGAAAAAAAATGCAAATTAAAAATAAAATAAAGTTCAAAGATCTAAACAGTAAGGGGTAGGCAGTTGTCAGTATGGACCAAGTCAAAGAAGGTATCCTGTGCCATGATGAAGAGGACTTTTCTTATGTGGGTCAAGAAACAATTTTAAGGAGGGTAGTGAAATGATCAGATTCATATATTAGATCATCCTTGGCTGCTTTATGGAGAAAGATTGAGGGGCCAGAATTAGTATCCGAGTCATTAGGAAAGAGACTATTATAAAAATACAGGCAAGGGATTATGAGGTCCAAAGTGGAAGTAGCAAAGATAGAGAAGGGGGCATTAATTTAAGAAATGTTTAAAGAGAAAATTGACAGGATTTAGTGAATGGATATGGGGGGATGGTGAGAGGGAAGAATCAAAGATGAGTTAGATTTCTTGGTTAGATATTGGATGAATCTTAGATACCACAAGAGACAATATAGGAAGAGGAGCCATTTTAAAGGGGAAAGTAATGTGTTCAGTTTTGGACATAATGAGTTTGAAGTGCCTATTAAATATCCAAGTGAAGGATGTCCCACTAGCCGGAAATGATTGCAAAGCTCAACGAAGAGATCAAAGCTGGATATTTGGAAGGTTTTGGCATGTAATATCATTTTGGAGGTATAAATTAAAACCATGAAGCCTTCTGGACTTCTTGACTGGTTTAAATGTCCTTTCTTTCTACCCACTGAGAACATATAGAAAGGGAAAAAAGATTGGTTCATAAATGAACCTCTGGAGAACATTGATATTCTAGATGAAGGCCACAAGAACAATATTTTTTATTATGTTAATCACCATACATTACATCATTAGTTTTTTTTTTACTTTTTATTGTTATGTTGATCACCATACATTATTACATCATTAGTTTCTGATGTGTTCCATGATTCATTGTTTGTGTATAACACCCAGTGTTCCATGTAATACGTGCCCTCTTTAATACCCATCACCAGGCTAACCCATCCCCCCACCCCCCTCCCCTCTAGAACCCTCAGTTTGTTTCTCAGAGTCCATCGTCTCTCATGGTTCGTTACATCATTAGTTTTTGATGTAGTGTTCCATGATTCATGTTAGCATATAACACCCAGTGCTCTATGCGGAATGTGCCCTCTTTAATAAGGCCACAAGAACAATCTTAGAGGTAGGAGAATCAAGAGAGAATAATATCATGAAAGCCAAGGAATTTAAATGTGTCAAGAGGGAAGAAGTGTGATTAACAGTGTAAAATGCTAAGGAATGTTCCAGACAGATAAAGATAGAAAAGTGGCTCTTGAAGTTGGCTATGTGGAGATCATTAATGACTTTTGGTGGAGTAATTTCAGCAGAATTGTAGGAAGGCTGTGGATATATTTTAGCAGATTCAGATGTGTATAAAAAAATAAGGAAATAAACTGTGAAGACTTTTAAGACTCTTGGCTGAGATGAGGAGAGAGGTAAGGCAAAATGATATAGGTCAGGGGCGCCTGGGTGGCTCAGTTGGTTAAGCGACTGCCTTCGGCTCAGGTCATGATCCTGGAGTCCCGGGATCGAGTCCCGCATCGGGCTCCCTGCTCAGCGGGGAGTCTGCTTCTCCCTCTGACCCTCCCCCCTCTCATGTGCTCTCTCTCTGTCTCTCATTCTCTCTCTCAAATAAATAAAATCTTTAAAAAAAAAATGATATAGGTCAGAGGAAGTTTTTGTTTATTTTGTTCTTGAGAGAGAGACATGAGTATGTTTATTATCAGATGCCAGTAAAGAGGGATAAGGTAAAGATACAGGATAGAGGAATGGTCATTGATAAAGCAAGATTTTAGAGGAAATTGGAAGGGGTTGGTATCAAAAGCAAAGGTAGAAGGTTTTTGTTTTTATTTTTAAAGATTTTGTTTATTTGTCAGAGAGAGCGCACAAGCAGGGGGAGCAGCAAGCAGAGGGAGAAGTAGGCTCCCCATTGAGCAAGGAGCCCGATGCAGGACTCGATCCCAGGACCCTGGGATCATGACCTGAGCTGAAGGCAGACGCTTAATGACTGAGCCACCCAGGTGCCTCAAAGGTAGAAGGTTTTAAATATGAGGAAGAGGGACTTTATGTCCCATAACCAGAATATGAGGATAGGTTTGCTGGAGTGGGGAGAGGTGGGTGAAGGAGTTTAAGATAGGTACTATCCAATAGCCTCAGTTTTTCTCTTTAACTAGAAAAGGAAGGAGGTATGCAAAAGAGGGAAATGGGGATTGGGTAGGTGGCTTAAGGAATCTCAGGAAGCTCTGAGTATTGTTTCTACTTACACATAGGGAGTCATAAGAATGGTAGTATATTAGAAGTGATTTTGAGTAATTGTGCAAATAGGTTAAATGGACTTTGAGCGACACCACTCATGACACCACTCACCTCAGTGCTCTAAGTTACAAGTCAGATTCCAAGAAAGAAGCTCTCATTACAACTAATTATTCATTTGCCCTCAAAAACCATAAGGACTAGAACCTTTATATCTTGTATCTCAGTTTACCTAAATCACTTCTGAAAATCCATCATCATAGCTGAACTCTTATTATCATTGAGAGTTTTTTTTTCTCACACCAATCAATTCTCCAGTTCTCCAACACTAAATGCATGTCCGATAATTCTGACACTATCCAGAGTTAGCTCAGACTCCACTGCTTAAGGGCTTAGTCCCAGAAGACTGTCCCCACTTAAGATGCTAGCCACAAATGGGGTGCCCATGCTACCCGCATTTCTGCCCGGGTGACTGAAAGTTCAGGAGTTCCCACAATACCCCCCACCCCAAGTTTGCCAGAATGACTCATAGAACTCAGGAAAGTGCTTTACTTATCAGTTTATTACAAAGAATACAACTGAGGAACAACCAAATGGAAGAGATACATCGAGCAGGGTATGGGGAGGAGGGGGACAGAGCTTCCATGCCCTCTCTGGGCATGCCACCCACCCCTAGCATCTCAGTGGTCACCAGCCTAGAAGCTCTCCAAACCCCACTGTTTAGGGAGTTTTATGGAGATTTCATTATGAGGGTAAGATTGATTAAATCATTGGCCATTGCTGATTGAGCTCAACTTCCAGACTGTTAATCACATGGTTGGTACCTCTGGCTTCTCCCCCTCATGCTGAAGCTATCTAGGTGTCTGCTTGTAGTCACCTCAGTAGCATAAACTCAGGTGTGATTGAAAAGGGCTCATTATAAATAACAAAAGACATTCCTATCACTCAGAAAATTACAAGAAGTTTAGGAGCTCTGTCTTAGGAACCTGTGATATAACCCAAATATGTTGTTTTTTTTTACACCATTATTGTATGGTCCTATATATCATCTAATTTAACTTAATCACCCAGCCCGTTTCTTTTTTTATTTTATTTTTTTAAAGATTTTATTTATTTGAGAGAGAGAGAGAGAGTGAGAGAGCACATGAGAGGGGGGAGGGTCAGAGGGAGAAGCAGACTCCCTGCTGAGCAGGGAGCCCGATGCGGGACTCGATCCAAGGTCTCCAGGATTATGACCTGAGCCAAAGGCAGTCGCCTAACCAACTAAGCCACCCAGGCGCGCCAGCCCTTTTCTTTTTGATTCCTCAAATCTGTCTGTCATATCCTGTAGAATTCATATTCAATCATAAGAAAAATCCCCTTTATTTTCAACTTCTTGTTCTAATGAAATATGACTGATGCTTAAGGATACTGTTTTTGCCAAAGCCCTCTCAAACCTGTTTTGTTTTGTTTCCCCATACCTCATGTATCACAGGTACTAAAGGTTGGGTAGGTGTTCTCTTTGTTCCTCATATCCACTTCCCAAATTTTTCATCTCCCCTCTCTCCAAAATCTCAACTCATTCCAAGCATTTGCCATCAGGCTATATCATTTGATACACCTTCTTGGTGCCAACATCTGCTATCTCTTTAGTAACTTCATTTATTGAAGATTTTTATAGCTGGCTTACTTTCTCATCATTCTATATAAACAGTCATTCTTGGTGATTTTAGCATCCCCATAGTATGATCCACAGTTATACAACAACTTTGCCTCTGTCCTTGATCTCACTTCTAACAGTCTTTTCTGCCTTTACCTTAGGCACTGTTCTCATGATTATACTTCAACTTCATCATTACTAGTGACTTCAAACTTTCAAAATCTTGGTTTCATGCATTCCGTTCTCTGACTACCACCTCCTTTCTTACTAGCTTATTTATTTTAGTACTGTACTGCAGTCATTCTTTGTTCCCTTCAAGACTTTTAATCCTTTGGCCCTATAAGCAGAAAACTTACTGCTCACTGATGACTACATGTCCTCAGCTTAGATTCCAGGAACATCGCTTTGAACAACATCCTTTGAATACACTCATGGCTCCCTTGCCCTTCTTCCATCATACTCTTCTAGAGTTAGACTCAATTCTCCACTTATGCCATGGCTGCACCTGAGCAGCAGTATGTGGCTAGAGAAACACACATACCTGTCTTAAGTGGTCTCACTTAAGACACTTAGCAATGTCAGCAACCCCTTTACTTTCCCTAAGTGACTTATTGTTCCACTTCCTTGGAGGACTGTTTTGTACCTCTTCTCTCCATAAAAACATCCAAAACCCCCCAACCCTCACCATTCCAACTCTCACCTGATGACTTTTTCTCTTACTCTACTAAGAAGATAGAAGCAATCAGAAGAATACTAACTCATCTGATCTCCAAATCCACCAGGTTATTTCTAAGACCAGTCCCTCCATATCTCTACTTACTAGCTTCCATTCCCTCTTCTGTGCACAAGGGCTCTGCTCTTGCATTTATCCCGTACCTCTCTCACATCTCCTTCCTCCACTGTACTACATCATTGCCATCAGCATGCAAACACATTCTGGTTTAAGCGCCCAGATTAAACCACTCGTCCCTGGATGCCATGGTCTTTACTCTGCTTATCCTTATATCTGTCTCATCTGTTTTACTCTTTTTAGAAAAGTCCTTGGAAAAGTTGATATCCACTGTTTTTCCTTCATCTCCCTTTCTCTCTTGAACCACTCCAGTCAAGATTTGTCCCCATCATGTCACTGAAACTGCTCTCATTAAGGTCAAATAATTCCCTGGTGTATCGTTTTCATTGGAACAAATTCACATTTTTAAAACAAGCAATATAACAAAACTATATAGGCACTCAATAACTGTTGAATGAACGTTCTTTAATCATACTGGATAGAGAATATATATTTTTATGCTATTGCACAGAGTTTGGAGACATTGAAATGAAATATGTATACTTGCAAGAGACCATATGTAATTTGCATGCAAAGTATAAAGAAAAAAATCTAAGTACCAGCTTAAGAAATAGACTATTAACAATACCTTTAAATTCCCTTGTGTCCCTCCTTGATGCATCTCCTTTCCTTCCCTAGAAGTAACCACTATTTTGAATTTTCTGCATATTATTTCTTTGCTTTTCATTGTAATTTTGCCACATATTCATGTGCCTCAATATAGCATTAGGTTTTACACATTTTTATGTAAGTAGAGTAATGCTACATATATTCTTCAGGGATGTGTTTTCTTACTGAACAATAAGTTTATGAAATTCATCTGTGAGATTGCATGAAGCAATAGTTCACTTAGTTTCATTGGTGTATGGTATTACAGTATATGGGTATAACACAATATTTTCTTTTTACAATGAACATATTAAGAATTAATTAAAGTGTTACACACATACAGAAGAATGCACAAATCCCAAGTGTACAGGTCAGTGAATTATCACAAAGTGCATGTTACAAACCAGTTCAAGAAAGTATGTGACCAACACCCAGAAACCACTCTGGAGTTCCCTCCCTGCCCTCCCCAAAGGTAACCACTATCCTCATTTCTAATCCAGAGATTAGAAATGTTTTTGAACTTGCTATAAATGATACTATACAGAATGTATTCTTTTGATTTGAGCTTCTTTCCCTTGGCATTTTATGTATAAGATTCACTTCTGTTAAAAGAAAAAAAAAGATTAATTCCTGTTACAGGTAGCTGTAATTTATTTTCATTGCTGTATTCTCTGATATGCCACAATTTATTTTTCTGTTTTATGGTTGATGAACATTTGAACTGTTTCCAGTTTTTGACTGTTACAAATAATGCTGCTGTGAACATCAAACATACACATGTGTGCATTTCTTTTGGGTACATATGTAGGAGTAGAATTGCTCAGTCTAGGGTGGATATACCACATGGTACTTACCATTCTCCTTTTGATGGGTGATTGTGCTGTGCTGCTGTGAACATTTCTGTATGTATGTCCTGATGCAAAACTGACTATAACAGGCATTCAATAGTACAGATACACATGAATGAAATTGCTGAGTCAGAACATTTGTGTACCTTCAGTTTTACCAGATAATGCAAAATTGTTTTCCAGCATAGTTTGTACCAGTTTACACTCTCACCTACAGAGTATGCATTTCCTGCTCACATTCTTGCCAACAGTTATTTCTGACTTTAAATTTTTGCCAGTCTGGAAAGTGTGTCATGGTTTGTTGTGGTTTTAATTGGCATATCCCTGATTACTAAAGAGATTAAACATTTTTATTTGTTTTGGGGCCATTTTGATTTTTAAAATTTAATTTTTTCTGCTTATTCTTTAGTGTGGAGATGTACTTTCCTCAGAATGACTCTTGGATTGGTTTGGCACCCCTAAACATTCCTCGCTATGAATTTGGAATATGTGTTTTAGACCAAAAAGTGTATGTTATAGGTGGTATTGAAACGAACGTGCGTCCTGGCATCACTATCAGAAAACATGAAAATTCAGTAGAATGCTGGAATCCTGATACAAATACCTGGACTTCTCTTGAGAGAATGAATGAGAGCCGCAGTACCCTTGGAGTAGTAGTACTTGCAGGAGAACTTTATGCCTTAGGTGGTTATGATGGACAATCTTATTTACAATCTGTAGAGAAGTATATTCCTAAAATAAGAAAATGGCAACCTGTGGCACCAATGACTACAACAAGAAGCTGTTTTGCTGCAGCCGTGTTGGATGGAATGATATATGCCATTGGTGGGTATGGTCCTGCCCACATGAACAGGTATTTAACTTAATGAAGTTGTATATACTTGTGGATTTTTAAAGTCTCATTAACAATGATTCATACACAACTTGTGTGTGTGAATGAACTTCCCTTTTTAATTTTTAAAGTAATATTGTTAGGCGTTTGGGAAATTTAATCTGCTCTATGAGTGTAAGTGTAATTGTTTTACATGAGGATTTAATACAAACCTAAAAATGAAATCCCTCTTACAAAATTTTAAATTCATTCATTTAATATAATTGGACTAGATTTTAAAATTCAGAGATCTGAATATAAAATGAAGTTAGACAACTTTAGATTTTGGGTGGTGAATGTTTATAAATATGGGGGTGTGTGTGTGTATAAATGATCTGTTACCACATTGCTTAGCAGAATAAAAAGTGAAAAATGTAATTCCTATATGCTTATATATTATGCATCATAAACATAAATCCTTATTTAAATATTCCTTTTTGGATTCTTATTCTATAATCATGCATGTATCATTGTGTACCTGAGTTCTGCTGGAGTCTGAATTTGAGATTTCTGTATTTTGTAGTATTCTCTGAATAAAGGAGAAAAATATATGAGAAAAATAAAAGCATAAAGTGACTTGCTTATATGGAAAATTAATCATAATTCTGAATTGTTGTTGAAAATTGCTGTTCCAAAGATTTTCTCTGATAGTAACTAGAGTGGTGTGTGTTTTGTTGGATTGTGAGCATTTAATGCAAGAGTATATTGTGGTTTGTTAACTGAGAAAGCAAGAGCACAATAGCATTTAATCTATAAATTTTTATTTCTCTGTAAGCTAAAATATTCCTCCTTTTTATTGCTCCCTCAGTTGAAGGAAAAGTATTTGGGGCATAGATATGCATTTTTATTCTTTGAAAATGTGCTGGCAGAAATTTATAAGATAAATGGTTGAGTATTTCTTTTGGGAGCTAATGCTCTTGAAGTTTAAGTTCTTGCTATAGTTTATCATCTCTTCTTGTCCAGTAATTGAGCTCTAATGGCTTTTATCCCAATGTCCTGTCAGAAATATTTATAGTTTAGTCTATGTTCTAGTCTAGTCTACAGTCTAGTCTCTGTTCGGAACTCCAGAATTATGCTACTGACTCTCAAATGCTTCAGGCTTTTTTGAGAAGTTAGGTTAGGACCAGAACAAGCTCAATAAGCCTGCCTTTGTGCTCACTTGTGTCAAAATAAGAGATTTAAAGTCCTTACGGGATTTTCTAGGAAAGCTTTTTAAATTCTGATTTGCTTTGGATATCCATAATGCAGCTTGGAAATGCCAAATGTTCTCTGGAATGCAGACTTGATTTAAACCCCTGAATTCTCCTAAATCACTCTGAGATTATTATGATTGGCCAGTTTATGTTATGTAATCTGCAGTGTTTGCTTTGCAGTAAACCACCACGACTTCTATAAGGCAAAAAATTCCTCTCCTTTCCTTTTTTTCATCTTCCCTTTTCCTTAACTGTGTAGAAGATCCTTAGTGTCCTTAGAAAACATTTATATTTAATTTGTGATTTTCAAAGCGCTTTCAGAACATGCATACTCATTTGGCTTTACTCTTACATAAGTCCTTTGAGGTTAGGTTATCCCCATTTTTTCAGGTGGAGGAAAGGGCTTATCCAGGATTACACATACCCATTAGGGATAGGGTTCATTCAGCTCTAAGTATACAGCATTAATACTTGAACCCAGGTTTCCTGACTCCAGAAGCATTATGCCCTTAATATACCCTGCTGCTTGTATGACATAAGGGAATAGCATAGGGGTATTCTTGCTCCCAGTTCACAAGGTAAGCTTTTATCCTTGCAATTTTATCAGCAAAATGTAAACATCTGGGACAGACTACTCTTGTTTTATATCTGTCTGTTGGAACTTCTAAAACTATGGTAGGTTTTAACTTTGCTTTGGTAGGAAGAGTGGTACAAGGAATATGCAAATTAATTCTTTCTTTTGTGAATATTTGCAGCGTGGAGCGTTATGATCCAAGTAAGGACTCCTGGGAGATGGTTGCATCTATGGCAGATAAAAGGATTCACTTTGGTGTGGGTGTCATGCTAGGCTTTATTTTTGTGGTGGGTGGACATAATGGTGTCTCACATTTGTCAAGCATTGAAAGATATGACCCTCATCAAAATCAGTGGACTGTGTGTAGACCAATGAAAGAACCCAGAACAGGTAATAATAACTAACTAATATCTAAACATAGAGGATGATATTTCTTATAGTGATATTCTTGGAATAGTAGTTCCTTGGAATATAATAGTAAGAGTATTACTTGTCCAGTAAAAAAAAAGCTTGATTGTGCTAAACTTGAGAGACTACTGATTTGACAAAACTACATAGATTTCTATACTGTGATATTTTTTTAAAGATTTTATTTATTCATTTGAGACAGAGAGCATGAGCAGGGGAAGAGGCAGAGGGAGAGGGAGAAGCAGGCTCCCTCCTGAGCCAGGAGTCCTATGTGGGCCTCGATCCCAGGACCCTGGGATCATGACCTGAGCCGAAGGCAGACGCTTAACCCTTTGAGCCACCCAGGCGCCCTATATTGTGATTTTAATATACCAATGTGCATATTATCATTTCTTAAAGTTGGGACAACACATTTTTAGAAATGGTGGGAATAGAATGTATCTTACAGAAGCTCTTCTGTCCATATAACAAATGTCATCTTTTTATATGTTAAACACACACACACAGAATCTTTGGATTGTTCTGTTTTTTTTATTGTACATCAGCAGTCTATATGTTAACTTTCAAATGTTCTCACGTACACAGGGTGTTCGGAAATCTAGGAAAGGCTGGATTTCAGGGTTCCCAGAGAAAAACAAAAACATCTTTGAAGAGTAGAAGAAATTACCTTTGAACCCAAACTCAAATCACATTATTTTAAGGGGAAAGTTTTAAGTTGCGGAAGAAAATGCTTTAGGGATATTTCTTGCGTAAGAGGGAAAGTCATAAAATAATAATGAAAAAACGGGTAGTTTTGTTCCCTTTAGAACTGTGTATAACTGTATATACAGTAGAATTTTTAAAGCATAGGTTGTGTAGTTCAAGATATGTTTCAAATATTTCAGCATATTTAAAAACCTGATAAAGATGAATGATTTGTTGAAAAATATGTAAATATAAACAAAAGAAAGCATATGGAAAGATGTATACTACATTCTTTGTATTTTTCTGTGGTGGAGTAGAGGGAGAGTAGGATTGGGGAAGAGAGGTGAAGGAAGACTTCAACTCTTGCTTTCATGTTAAGGGATTTTTTTCCCCAGTAAGTACATATGGCAATGGTGCTTGTATAATTAACAATAGATTATTGAAATGTATTTTAAGAAAACATTAAAATACAAATTTATTTTTAGTGAGAAGTCAACTTCATGGTTAACATATTTGTTCCCTATTTTTACCCACTTTTCCTAGGGGTTGGTGCTGCAGTAATTGATAACTACCTTTATGTAGTTGGTGGTCACTCAGGGTCTTCCTATCTGAATACCGTGCAGAAATACGACCCTATATCAGATACGTGGCTGGATTCAGCTGGCATGATATACTGTCGCTGCAACTTCGGGTTAACAGCACTTTGACAAGTGTGGACTGGTGGAAGTCGTGTGGTAACGAACCTTGGGCCACATGAGCAGATGCCCCACTTTCTGAAATCCAAAAGCTTAACATTACTTTCTTTGTAACTTGAAGTGGCATGACGACTCAAAGTTCTGTTGGGTACTTTGACAAGTAGCTTTGGTTGCTCTTGATTACACAGTGAATCAATAATCAAAAAAAAAAAATCTTGCCAATTTAATTGTGCACTTTTTTTTTCTCCTAATGCTGGGATAGTTTTATGTTCATAAGTGTACATGTGGAGAAAATCTTGCTGCTTTAAAAAAAAAAAATTTCAACTCTCCTTCTTCCTTAATATATGCACCATGATTTACCGGGATGAGAGATGCTTAGATGTTGGGAGTGTATTGAATGACTAGACAGAGTGCTGATACTGTCTGTTGGGTATAAATTCACGTGCTTCATATTTTAAACAAATAAAGGGCTGCTTTTTTGAGGGGGGTACTTTAAGGGTTGTAAGTTATATACCATAGTGAGTTACCTGGATATTCTTCCTACTAAATGGCTTTAGGGCTGGGGATGTAGTAAGTTTGCAAAACAAATGCTTTTACTATCATGATTTTGGGGGCTTATTTTAAGAAGTCAGATATTTACTGTTTATGCCTTTTTTATAGGGCAGGTTAATGCTGGATGAATTTAGTTACCCACCTGTGCTATTGCTAAGCATGGATAGAAAGTTAAGCATATCACTTTCAGTTTTATTTTCTCATAGTATGGCAGGCTTCCCAGTGTTGATGTAAATATTTGACAAATGTTTAGTACCACCCTTAGGACATACTGATTTTTTTCACATATCCTTATATTAATTTTAGTTTTTTAAGATCTTTGGTTGCTTTTCACAGTGTTCAGATATAAAAATGGTGCTAACTGTAGGATCTATAAAAAGGCTATAATAATGTTCTTTTGGATGTTCAGTATGAGATATGCATGACATGTTTTAATAGTATTTTTTCATTTTTACTGGCGTGGTTCATTTGTGCTTATTAAAAATGTTAGCGATTATGCTAATGTTAACATCCAAAAATCATCTAAATGGCCCATGTTATGCTTTTCATGGTTCCTGAGTAGTGATTTAAAAAAAGATGCATTTTTTATCTTCTTGTGCTAGATATATGTCCTTTATAAAAACAAATATATGCATTAAATATAAAGCACTAGGCAGTTATGCATTACTTTGTACACTTTTTAGGTAATTGAATATTTTAAAGTTACTGAGGAAAACTGGAACTCGATGTTTACTTGAGTAATGGTTCTAAATTTGGTTCTACTTTGACTAAAGAGACAAGCAAGACTGTTTGCTATAGCCAGTGACAGCTTATTTAAAATAAGTGGTCAGCTCATTTTGTTTTAGCATGTTTAGAAAATATGTTAGTCTTGAACATATTACTTTGCATTTTATTAGGATGTCGGTACTTGTATTTTTGGTACTATAGTTGTTTTCTTTTCTTTTCCTTGATTTTTTTTTAACCTATTATCTCTTTATAGTCTCTGCAAAACCAGTGTACATTTGTTTCCTAAGAAAAAATTCATACTGCATTCTTAAGTGCCATAATATTCCAAACTATTGTTAAGAAGCCATTTGTAATTAATAAAACATAGGTTTGTTCATTAGCATCTATGTTATAAACTATTTATAGCCTGGCAGTTTGCAGTTTTTCTTGTTCTTCCATAAACTGCCAGTATAGATTTAAATATATAGTACAAAACTCTGTAGTCATCTTTAATCATGTAAGTAGTATGCTTTATGAATATTTGCACAGATTATAAACCTTGCAAGTGATTTTTAGTCTCTTCCAATTAAAAACTCAACAGGAGCTACTAATAAATTTGACAGGCTGAGTATTTTCTATGTTGCTTGTTTGAATAACAATGATATATAGCAATAACTTTTTAATTGATTTGAATAAACCTATTGAATAGAAACAAGGTGCACTATTGTGATTGGCCTAGACTTTATTTAAAGAAAAGCAATTTAAAATAGATTTCATTACATGCTTAATTTTAAGTCCTCAACTCAGTTTCTTTTTGTTTATATCAAATTGTTAAGTGCATTCTATTAATAAACTATTTTTAATCTTCTATCCCCCAAAGGTAAAGGAATTTGAAAAACTATAAAAATCTATTTTAATTGTAAACAGACCTATACTATACATTTTAACAATGTTTTACTCATGTATCATCATCCCCACTATCAAATTGTTATAAAACATATAATCACTTGGTAAGTTAGACCAAAGGCATGTATTGATCATTGTTTTGGAAAAATCTAAACTTTATCCTGCTAAAGACTAAATGTGAAGCATCTTGGGCAATAGTAGGAACCATATACCAGAGAATAAATTACAAAAACTTGTAAAAAGAAGAGAAGAAACACCAAACTTTAAAAATAATAATTTTGGGTTTACTAAACCTACGGTACTATTCTTAACAACCAGAGGTATTGTAACCTGACAACTGATAACTCTACAGTAGACCTTCTCATACAGATTTGTGAGAAGTTTCATCATGAATATTTTGCTGACAGATTGTGTATTTAAAGTCACATGTTTCTTATGTTAAAAAGCATCAAAATGTTTGATTATAAATTCCCACAGTTAAAGATACTAGAACAATTTTATATACTCAGGCAAGGGGGAGAAAGCTATTTAAGATTGTCCAGAAATATTTTGGAAAAAGGGTGACAGTGGAAATAGAAATTAATTTTATCACTTGGAAGATACTTGCCTTCCATAATTATGAAGACTTAATCTGGTAGGAATGTTTGGCTATTTAATGTTTGTTAAATACAGTAATAGAATTTAAGTGATTTTTAATGTAGCCCAAAGGATGTTTATGTAAGTTCCATAGGTTATTGCTAATATTGTTTCAAATATGAATGAATATTAAACTATAGGAAGTGGTATCTAATGATAGGAAAATGGCATTAGGTTTTGAAAAATTATTTTAATAGCTTGACAAATTATGGAGGGTCTACTATGTGTACGTGATATTGTGCCAGATTCTGTCAGGGCTAGAAATATTACAAATAAGATACAAGTCTTTTCAAAGAGTAAAGTATGGTGAGGGAGACCTGTACCCAAAATAACTCTTATGGTAAAGTGTGAATTTAATTCCTTATAGCCAATATCATCAGAAGTGATTAGAAACCTAATTTATGTGTAGACATTTGTGTCTTTTAGTGTCCAGTTAGGTTTTACAGACATGAAAAAGAGTTATAGAAAACTTAATATTTGTAGAACTCCAAACTTCCTGGAATTGGATAATATATTTTCTATTAGAAAAAATAAAAGTATAGAAATTCTAAGAAATTAATTACTATATTATCAAGGCTCTGGCTAACATTGAAGGAAATATATGTACATATAATGCTGTGTTTATTTTCAGTTTTGGTGTTGGATTTCTGGTATTGTCACCTAAGTGCTCATTTTCAGGAAAATCAGATTCTACAATAAATATACTGCTTAAAAGTTCAATAAACTTGTGATAACCTCTATAACCTCTGTAGTCTGAAAGCTAAGAAATTATAAGATGTCACATGTCAAGTTAACATCCAGTTCTACTTCTTAACCTTTCTTTTTTCCTTTGTAAAACATCACTTTAATTAGACATGATTTAATTAGATACATTTATTCTGTGGCTGGATACATATTGGGTTTTCACTTACAGTATATTGATTCAGTGTTGATACCCATTTAAAAGAGTGCAATATACAGTAAGTTTAAATACTATAGGTTTACAAGCTTTCTTACTGGTGTGAATATGGAGTCAATAAAAATCCAGTTTACATCTCTGTAGAGAGAAAAATTGTTATCCATATGTCTTTTATATTATGCATATTTAACTAGAGATAATTTATTGTTAATTTTGTCAAGTTATCATGTGTAAGTCCCGTTTATTTTAAAATACTAAGCAAAAAGTTCCAAGTTTGCCTTAAAATACAAGTGAAATTAAAGAACTGGATGATAATGCCTCTATTTTTGCCTTATGAATTGTGCTGTATCATAAACCAGAGATGGTTTTGATTTTAACAGGATTCTGAAATTTTGTAGATGTAGAGTACTAATATTTGTACTCTCTTGCAAAGAATGTGATCTAGTGGATTATGTTAACGTTTAAGTGTTTTGTAAATGTATTTTACCTCTGAATATGTATCTTTTTAGCATCAGGGTTTTATTTTTTGTTTACATGGTAAAGTGGCATTTAACTTGTTGAAGGTTGTATTCTTTTGTATTTTATTTTAAAAGTTCCTTGTGTGTACTATTGTGGTGATGCTCTGTAATGACTATGGTTAAATTTCATTTAATGTGAAATGTTTAAAATAAATTTGAGAAACATGACTTTGTATGTGTCACTTGTTGTGAACTGACCCAAACTAACTTTGTCATTTTCAACTCTTAGGTGCTTTTTGGTAGATAGGTAGTGGTCACAAATGTTGAGGTGGGGTGTGGGATAGCCAGTCTTTTACATCCTCATTACCAGGTTATAATGAAACATGTGTTAGGCTAAATTCTGCCACATGTTCAGACACTTATTAAAGAAACATTCTTCAGCAAAGCCAGCACAGAAGAGTTCAATTGGTAAGTTCAGTGCAGTCCCATTCTTTAACTTGCCTTGTAAGAGGGGTTTACTTGAGGCAGACAAGGCAGCGTTCCAGAGTATTCTGTTATGTTTATGCCTAGTATCAGATAACCAGCAGTCCTAAAGGAAAGAGTGTAAACAGGGATTAAGCCCCAGGTGCAGTCTTTAAAGATGTTGTAAACTATAGGCCTGCATGGATTCAGATAACCTGTCCATGCAAGGATTGGAAATATATTTAGACAATCTGTATATCTTGAAACTCTTAATTTCACCAATAAGAGCAACTTTTTGATTCATGTTAGTCTGTGAGCCACTATTGCCCAATAATGTCCCTGACATTTAATATACTAAATAGCAAAACAGGGGGCGCCTGGGTGTCTCAGTTGGTTAAGCGACTGCCTTCGGCTCAGGTCATGATCCTGGAGTCCCGGGATCAAGTCCCGCATCGGGCTCCCTGCTCAGCCAGCCAGGAGTCTGCTTCTCCCTCTGACCCTCCCCCCTCTCATACTCTATCTCATTCTCTCAAATAAATAAAATCTTTAAAAAAAATAAAGTGCAAAACATTGGATACTGACCAAATTATGGATAA